CTGGCAGAACGCAAAGTCCTGCGCTCGGGTGCTCTTCGAGCCCGTTGCGGCAGGCTCAGTTGTCGCCACTGACGCTAGATGCCGGGGGAAAATCTGGCAGAAAGCAAAGTCCTGAGCGCGGGTGCTCCTCGAGCCCGTGGCGTTAGGCTCGGTCGCCACCGTCGCTGCTGGACGCCGGTGAAAAAGCTGGTCTCTGTGAGCACAGGGCTGAAAATATTCTCGACGGTGGGCCTTCTCTTCGCTCCTGTTCCGCGACCCCGTCGTTTGCGCCGTCGTTGAGGATTTGCACGGGTGGTTCCCCACCCGCGCCGACGAGGATTGCTGATGTGGGCGAAAGTGAACACAGTGCTGAACATATTCTCGCTGCTGCTCGCCCGATCATCCGCTGCGAGGCCGTCTGCCGAGCTCGCTGTTCCCTCGCTGTCCTCTCTACCCGACCCTGCCCCCCGCGTAGCTGCTCGCATTCTGCTCATTTCTTTTCCTCGGCCACCGGCTCCTCTGCGCCGACCGCCCTCCCTCTCGGTCCGTCGCTCCTGAGCGCTGCCGCTGCGGATGCTGCTCCTCTCCTGCTTCCCCACCCGATGCCGGCTCGATGTGCGCCGCCTCACCCGAGTGAAACAGCGGCTGCGCCTGCCGCCTTCATTTTCGGCACCTCCAGCGAGAGGTGCAACAGACCAGGCGCGCCCCCGCTGCCGCCCATCCGCGGGCTGTAGTAGATGCTGACCAGGACTCTCCCTACGCTTGCCTCCTCCTTCTCCTCCTCCTCCGCCTCCGCCCCGTGATGGAGCCAGGGATCGACTAAACGTAACAGTGGCCCTTCGCTGGAGTGATGGTGCGGTCACTTGGGCCCCCCAGGCACAATGCGGTGCGACCTTGTTCCTAAGGTTTCGCATGAGAAATATAATCTAATGTGTGGAATTCGACGTCTTCTGACAGCGTTTCGACTGGACACGCCGGTCATTGAACATAGGTGTTTTGGGATTTCCCGATCCCCATCTACTTCAATAATCGATGTGCGTTCGCTGTGCTGTGTTATTTTGTGGGAGGGTCTGAACCCAGCATGCTTTCTCCGCACCCCTACTTCATGTTTCTACCTCCTTCTTCCGACCGACGTGCAAATAACCCTCCCCTGGAGGGGGGATGCGCAATGTTTTGTCGCCCCCCCCACCATCAATCGCGACAAACCTACACACCATTTGGAAACCATACGTCGGCGAAGCTTCATCTAAAGCTGCTCGCGCAACGACGATCAGGAGAAGAGAGGAACAAACGGAGGAGGAGGAGGAGGAGGAGGCAGCGAAAGGAGAGAGGGAGAGGGGGAGAGAGAGAGAGAGAGAGAAAACAACAAAAAAAAAACGGGAGGAGGAGGAGGAAAAGGAGGAGGAGGAGGTGCAAAGTCGTCGGGCGGGCGGAAGAAACGGCGTCGTCTGCGCCGACATGGGCGCGTAAGCTGCCCGCGTAACTATAGGCTCGCGCGAAGGTGCCCTCGTCCCCGGTCTGGCGTGCCGCGCCGGCGGCTCGCGCAAGCCACCGCGTAAGGTCGCGACGTCGTCTCGCGTACTACGGCTTGTTTCGGATCGTCGCTCAATGATACTGGACGAGGGGGGAGTTCAGAGGAGGGGGAGGAGGAGGTGGATGAGTGAGGAGGAGGAGGAGGAGGAGGAGGAGGAGAGGAGGAGGAGGGAGAGAGGAGGAGGAGGAGAGGAGGAGGAGGAGGAGGAGGAGGGAGGCGGAGGAGGAGGAAGGAGGAGGAGGAGGAGGGAGGAGGAGGAGGAGGGAGGAGGAGGAGGAGGAGGAGAGGAGGAGGAGGAGAGAGGAGGAGGAGGAGGAGGAGGAGGAGAGGAGGGAGGAGGAGGAGAGAAGGAGAGGAGGAGGAGGAGGAGAGGAGGAGGAAGAGGAAGAAGAAGAAGAAGAAGAAAAAGAAGAAGAGGAGGAGGAGGAGGAGGAGGAGGAAGAGGAGGAGGAGGAAGAGGAGGAGGGGGGGGGAGTTGTTTATTGTTCTGTCTGTGTGTACGTTGTTTTCGGTTGGTTCAGCTCTCGACCGGCGCGCTGGACCTGTGCTTCCCTCTTTGTTGTGCATGACCTTTTTTGCTGGATCTATCCGGAGGGAAAGAAACACACAGACACAATTGACCGTCGACTCCCAGGAAAGTATGGGAAAATATGGGAAGTGGTGGGGAAGACAGAAATCCAGAAAATATGAAAAATATTTGGATTCTTGTTATTTGTGTGTATTCATTTGTGTGTTTGTGGGCCCCTTCAATTTAGGCGTTTTGGCTCGGTCTCCTCAATCTCGACTGGGATGCCCGAAGCACGGGCGCGCGTGTGCCTGTCGCCACGCGCGCGTCGTTCGAGCGGCTCGCGGCGTTAGCGGCTGAGCGGCACTGGGCGCGGGGTGCGCGCCCGAGGGCAGGCGCGTGGCATTTCGGCGGTGGGTTTCCCTGTTGCCGGAGGGTGCGGCTGTTGCTTGGAGTTGGAGCGGCGTGCCGAGCCAGCGCGTGCGCGCGTCATGTACGTGGCTGGTGCACGGTGCGCTTTACGTAACGCGGCTGTCGTGCATCGCTGACGTGGCGTGCCCCGAATGCGCTTAAACAAGCAACCACAAGCATTAACTACATGCGTGTTTGTTTCGAATACGTCTTGGTCGCGTGGCGCATTGTGTGTGGTTTGCTAGTCTTTGCCACACTTGCGCGTGCGCCTCGTGGGCGTCGCGTGCTCTGTCGGCATCGCGGCAAAAACTTCTGCCGCCTAAACCCGATTCGTCCGTTTTGAATGTTGGCGTTGGTGTCGTTCATCAATATGCGAGGGGCGCGGTTATTGTTTTGCCTTGTCACGATTGCGCAGTCGGCGCCGCATAGGTCCCGCGACGCAGACATACCGGCACTTGGCCTGACGATCGGCGCTGGTTTTGGTTACCGTGCGCGGAGTTTGCTTACTGTCTTGACCGTGACTGCTTCGCGCCTGAACGTTCCGTCGCGAATAGAGCCGCTCATTCTTATTCGGTATCTTTTCCTCCCCCCCCTTCTTGCCCACTGCCCCGTTCCATGGCTTCTCGCGCGTGACTCCCGCACTGCAGCTGCCACTCGCGCTGTCGCCAGGGCTTCACGTCGCCCTGCCCCCACCCCAGTGGCCGGTGTCGGGCCATCGTTGCCTTGTCGCGGGCCCGCAGCCCCAGCGTGCGTAGCGGACGCGTGTCACGCCTCCGCCGCTGGCAGTGCCGCTTCCCACGGGTGGCTCCGCAGGGGCCTCCCCTCGGGTCCGCCACAGCGGCCTGCTTCGGCACAGCCTGCCCTACAGCTTGCTCCGCCTTGTCCCTCCGCATGTTGCCCCCGGGACATCTGTCGGCTCGGCTGCCGCTGGCCTTCGCCTTCCGTCCGGGCTGGCTGGTCGTCTGCCTCCCGCACTGCTGCCACTGCCGCGGCCCCTGGGTGTGGTCGCGACGCCGCCCCGCGTTTGCTGCCAGGGGTGCAGCACCGGCTTGGCCGCCCATGGCGCCCTGCTGCGGTCCCCGTGGCGCGCTAGACCTTTTCCCCCCGTCCCGCGGCCGCTCCTCTCGTCCGTTCCCTTGCCTCGTGCACCCGGGCAAGTCCCAATGCTGTCGCCCAGCCTGCGGAGCGCGCGTGCGGACTGCTTCTGGCGCGCGGCGACGGAACGCGCGTCCATCGGAAATTGATGTCCTTCGCGCCATCACCCTTGATATCCAGCTACATTGTAGTATTTCTTCACCGCGCCAGCCGGAATTTGTGTGTGGCGATTGCAGTGGCTGCATGTGATTTTGAGGATGTTGATCGTGACGACGATTCAACAAGTGAGAAGTCAGCAACAAGAACAGCAAACCACCAAACAACAAGCAAACATAACACATACGTGATCATGTTTTATTCCTTGTTTTGCCGATCGGCGCCGGCCCCCGCACCCGCTTCTGCCCCCCCTCCGGAGTAGATCTTGGTTGTTTTGGGCGCCTGTTTCAGGCAGGTGGAGCCTCCCCTCATAGGGCGCATTGCCCCAAACAGCTGCGCGAAACAGAGGTCGGGAGCCAGACCCCCCCTCCCCCCCCCTTCCCGCCCAATGTCGAAACGCCAAACGGCGCTCTCTATTTCGATCAACAATTCCCGCATCCGCCCGTGGGGGCTCCTTCCAATTTCAGGTTTCCCGAGAGGGTGCCGCGGCGGCCATGCGTCACACGGCGCTTTGGCCGCCAGGCTGGCTTTGCTGACGGGTGCCTCTTCAACTGGCGGGGCGCGAGGGGCTCGACCGATCCCCGAGCGGGGCAGGGGCCACAGAGGCAACCGAGCGGACCCGCCAGAGGGAGGCCGAACACTGGCCACCAGATGGACCCAAAACCACCTCCTCGGCTGGTCCCTGTCCCCCCGGAGTGCCTGCTTCGTCGCCGGTGCGGCACATGCTTCCGCAGGCTCACAGCGGGCCATGAGGTTCATCGAGAACTAGTGAATTCCTAACCCTAAACACACGACGAAAACGTGGCCTCATTGAGGTCCCCGTTTTTGAATGAGGGATGATAAATCTGGGCGGCTCGGCTCGGTACACCTGCAGGGGAGCAGCAACTATCCCCAATGTTCTTGGCGCTTCTAAGTTAAGTCCCGCCCAAAAGGGGTAGGGGTCGTATCTTGGTGAATCAGAGGTGTCCTCGGGTCGCCATCCCCGACCATGCACACAGTATGAGCAGGTGCCGCCAGCCACCGCGCACATCCAAGATCCAACCCCAGGGGCACCTCGATTCACAGGGCCTCGCGCGTCGCGGCCGGGGCCGGGGAGTCTGCCTCCTCCGGGTGGCGGCGCCCAGGGGTGCGGCGCGCGGATTTTGCGCGTCGTGGCCCATGTGTTTTTTTTTGTCCCCCCCCTCCCCAGGCCAAGATTCGGTCCGCGTGCCACACATGTGTTGTCTGGCTGGTGGTTGGGCTGACTGCCCACCCATGCCACGCACAGGGCCGGGCAGCCGGCGGGCGTGCTCTCGCGCGGCTGGCTCGCCCCCCCCGGAGGATCCCGCCTGGTACCCGGAGCTGAACAGCAGCCAGGCCTGCGCGGACTGGTGCAGGCAGCACGCCGCGTGCGCCGAGGCCACCTTCTCGCGCGTCGGCGTCCCCGAGGGCGGCGAGCAGTGCCGCCTCTTCGAGGCGCGCGGCGAGCTCTACGACTTCCGCGACGACTTCAACGCCTCGTGGTGCGGCGCCCTGGAGGAGGTGCGGCGGGCGTGCAGAAGGGCTGAAAGATCGGCGGCGCTGGGTCACGTACAGCGGAGGCCCCTGCCAAGAAGCGCCCTGCTTGCCTCCAGGGTGCCCTGGGTTTCTTGGGCATCGATGGCTCTGCCACGGAAGGCGCGGCGTTCCCACACCACAAATCGAGGGACGTGCTGGGATCTCGGGGGTGGGTTTCTTGTGGAGGGTCTCCTGTGGGCTGGCCTCAACTGTGCGAGAGTGGCTCGTTGGGGCCGTCCCGTGACGCCCTCGTGGCCAGGGCCGACGCAGCTCGGAAGGTTGGCCGGTGTGGACGGGGGGTTGGAGGTCCAGCGCTCCGTCTTGCTCGGATTCGAGTCGGGGGCGGCGCGAGAGGGGAGGACTTCCAAGATAACACTGTGCATCCAGGACCAGGGCTGGACCTAAACTGTGTTTTGGGCGATTTCGTGGGCCGTTTTCGGTTCAATCTCGTTTTGCGGTAAAGGCGGATTCGAGGCAAAAGCGACGGAAAACGAACGTAAAACGAAAACGAAAACACCGTTTAGGTTCAGCCCTGTCCAGGACGGGCTCGGGGGCTTCGAAGGACCCCCCCGAAGATCGGGCGGGTGGCAATGGTGTAAGTGACCCAACAGGGGTCCAGCTGAAAGGGGGCGGTGCAATAGACTTCGGACAACTGTATTGCAAATGTATTGCGCCGGAGAACATTGCATTGTATTGCAAGTGATGCATGCCACGCCCCGGGAGGTATTGCACGTCCCAGATGTACATGTGCGCCCCGGGAGGTATTGCACGTCCCAGATGTACTGCAAGGCTGCGAACCTATGTGGCAACACATCTGTGGCCCCACCCCTCTCGTCGCTGCACCCCCTCTTCGCGTCAACCCGAAATCTGGGGGGAGAGACCTGCGTGGGCTTGGCATCGCTCAGACGAGTGCATTTTTCCTCAGGCGAGGACAATCGAGGAGCATCCTTGATGATTTGGCGAAAAAGCCACGCACGAAACCGACGGAAAACACAGGGAATGGACGTCCGAGCGATGGCGAGTGGGGGGGGTGCAGAGCAAAAGGGCCCTGCAGGGGGTCCCCCCCCTCTCGGAGCCAGCAGGCGCCCCCCGCCGGGATCCCCCTTGGTCTGCGCTCCCCTAGCTGAGGCCACCGCCCACTGCGGCATATTGGAGGCCTCGACAGTCGGGCCGGACGAAAGGGGGGGGATTGGGAATAAGGGGGGGCTACGAAATTTGCTGCATGCAGCCGGTTTCGGCCTCACCGAGGGGACCATTCCTCGATACATAGCCGCCTCCAGCGGCGGGAGGCGCCAGGAAAATCAGCTACGTGAGCTGATTCTCAAACCCCCCTTTGCTGTCCCCCCCTTTCGCCCGACCCGAGACAGGGGCACCAACACTACAGTGAGCGGCTTGAGTAAGGAACACTCACTTTTCAAAAGGGGCTCGGCCGTTCCTTGAGGCTTGCATGCGTTGCGTATCGTTCCTTACGCGTTTTTTTTCTTATTTATCGTTCCTCATGCTTTTTCCTTGGAAAGCAGGGGCTCCGTTTTTTATGTATCGTTCCTCAGGTCAGGCCGATGACTGTAGAACAGGGGGGTGCGCCATTAGTGGGCCCTGGAAACGACAGGGCCGTTTTTGTTACCGGTTCCGTTGTTTTGCCGTCTGGTTTGCCGCTTCCGACGCCGCTTTTCGATTTACCGGTTCCGTCGCCGTTCTTTTACGGGTTCCCGCTCCGGTTCCAATCCTGGAGCCGTTTTTGTTGCCGTTTCCGGTCGCCGTTTTTGTGTTGTTTCCATGTTCAAGGGACATTTGTTCGGACACGGTGAAAAAACGGCCCTGCCGTTTCCAGGGCCCACTAAGGGTGCGCCCACTGGGGGAGGATGATCCTAGATTTCGGTGTTGGCGGTAATCTTTCGGCCGTCTGGGATGCCAGAGTATTACCACTATCTCCGAGAGCAGGATCATCTCCCCTCGGTGGAGGCACACCGCCGATTTTGGTGTTGGTGTCAACCTCTGGGCCTGCCACGGTAGGTTCATTCAACGTTGCCGCGCCGACGACGTTGGCGAATGCGTTTAAGGTTGAATTCTGCTCTGCGCCCGTGCGCGCGTTCACCGAGGGACACGGCAGCGCCACAGGACCTGACGGAATTCAACCTTGAACGGTCGGGGCCGCGATCGACTCAAGGTTGAACGATCGACGCGGTGTCAAACATTTTCGCGCACGCCGACGCCGCACGAATTTACTGTACCACCCGCCCGAAAGAACGGGAGGGATCCTGAGATCATCGAGCATAAGAGTACCCTTAACCCTAACTGTACGATGAAGACGTGGCCTCTGAGGTCCTCCCGTCTTCGCATTGGCGATCGTGATTCTGGGCGGTTTGGTCTGATACGCCTGCAGTATAGAAGACACTCTTTCTCCCCATGGTTCAGGAGAGGAAAAAACACACAGACACAATTAATCGCCGACTCCCAGGAAAATATGGGAAGATATGGGAAGTGGAGGGGAGGACAAAAACCCAGAAAACATGTGAAAATATGGGGAATATGTTTTTGTTAGTGTATTTATTGGTGTGTCCCAGGGCCCCTTCAATGGTTCCTGGCCCTCCCAGCTTTTAGGCCCCCTCCCAGAGAGCTATAGGGGCTCCTGCCTGGTGAGTCCAGCGAGGTTATACCCCTTCTCCTGGGAGGTCTGCCCCCCCCCGGAGCCCGGCAAACCTTTCCCGCCCGCGCGCGCCGCCCCCCCGGAGGTGGACCACCTGCTGTGGGAGGTCAAGAAGGCTCCGCGGGCCCCTCCTCCGCCGTGCTCCTCCCCCTCCTCCTCCTCGTCATCCTCCCTCCTCCCTCCTCCTCCTCCTCCTCCTCCTCTTCCTCCTCCTTCTCCTCTCCTCCGCCCCCTCCCGCCTGCCTCCTCCTCCACCTCCTCCTCCTCCTCCTCCTCCTTCCTCCCTCTCCTCCTCCTCCTCCTCCTCCTCCCCTCCTCCTCCTCCTCCTCCTCTGCCTGCCTCCCTCCCATCCCTCCCTCCTCCCTCTCCTCGCCTTCCTCCTCCCTCCTCCTCCTCCTCCTCCTCCTCCCCCCTCCTCCTCCTCTCCTCCTCCTCCTCCTCCTCCTCCTCCCCTCCTCCTCCTCCTCCTCCTCTCTCCTCCTCCTCCTCCTCCTCCTCCTCCTCCTCCCTCCCTCCCTGCCCTCCCGCCCTCCCTCCCTCCTCCCTCCTCCTTCCTCCTCCTCCTCTCCCTCCCCTCTCCTCCTCTTCCTCCTCCTCCTCCTCCTCCTCCCCCTCCTCCCCCGCGGGCCCCGCGCTTCCGAACTCGGGAGGGAGAGCACCGGACACGGAAGCAAGCGATCGTCGATCCCCAAGAAATCGAAGGAGATGTGGGGAGTGGAGTGCGAAGGCGAGCATCCACACGGCCGGTGCCGCCGACCCAGGAGGACAACGGCGACGACCACGACAACGGCCACGACGACGACGACGACAGCGACGAAACAAGCTCGGGACATATTGGGCGGGCGGTGGACGGAGAG